CGGACGGATCGACTCGCGATTGAGAGTTGGAGTCCGTACAAGACTGGTAGGCACGTGTGCACCAAGTAGGCGATTGCCGTAGAGCGCCTGCGCAGTGTAGGCGTGGCGCGCAGCGCGTTGATCATCCGATACGACTCGGAAGACTTGCCTTCAAAGTTCAAGAAAGTCCTCGTCGTCACTGACAAAGGCACAACAACTTTCGTATAATCAGTTATCATGCAATAAATAAAATCAGTTCAAAATCAGTTATTCAGCTTCCCAATAACTGATTTTGGTGCTTACCTCGTCAATAACTAACATTGGTAGTGCGCCTTACTCCCGACTCTCCCGCGCTTTGAGTCGTCGGTCTCAGTTTTGGAGACTGATGGGCCACCCGCTTGAGAGAAGGGGTCATTGACTCACAGCTTCACAGAGGATTCTTTCGTCGGAGGGTACTACAGGCGGGTCAGGTAGCACGAAACTTGAATCTAAAACAAGCGCAACTTGGACATCTCATAATATATTGTACTAGCATTTCATACTCATACTCATACACTGTGGTACGTGGTGAGATATCCGATTCAGCTATGAGAACCTGGGTATTGACTGAGAGATTTCAGCGAGGCCCCGGTCCCCCGTACTAATTGTTGTATCTTACACAAGCAAGAGCTTCACGACAAGAGCTGAGTGCATTGGATCTCCAGACTAGTGCGGTGGACCTCTCGGCATCATTGTCGTCCATCATGGCGGGAGGAGAAACGAGTTGCTTGTTTCTCACCGCTTACGTGTGCTTCAGAGGTAGCGGCTTCAGGCCAGTTTCAGTTATTGGGAGGCACGCATCTCATGTTCAGTCATCGCACAAAGGCTCCCCCCCCCAATTCAAGTTATTGAGGCCAAATCTGGTTATTAGTACATAAGTTTGAACTAAACGATAGTTATAAATACAATCTCGCTGACGCGGGCGGTCGATTTTCTTTTTGGCACCATGGTGGGAAGATGCAAGCTGTAAGCTTCGGTTTAGTCAATTAATCGGGTCCGCCATTCAGTGTTGGCTCGACTCATGAACACTACGTGGTACGTATACTGGAATCAAGAGGATACAGACATGATGAAGGACGCTGGCCATCTAAAGACAAGAAACTAGGCCTCACACGTGTTAGTGGGTTACTGGTAAGCGCGTCAATGACTGAGGAAGGACTCTGGTAGTTCAGCAGGTACTGTACAGTGAATAGAATAGTTACTGAATCGTTACTAATGACTTGAAGAATGCATCTGAGCCGTTGAGCGCTGAGCGCAATGCTACGACTCAAAGAAAGGCGGCGACCCAGGCTATTGGTGCGTCAAAGACTACCGGGGGAAAGCTTTGTCGAGGGGGAAAAGTCGTTATGCAAGCTACCAAGCTGTCTGGGAGGTAAATATAAGTACAAATCAAGAAATGAAGGAGCGGGTGACTCGTAGTTCAGAAGGAGACTGTTCAGTCCATAATTCAAGTACTGTAAACCATTCAGTCTGAGTCGTCCGTGCAGAACCTCAAGCGCCGGTCTGGCTGGAAAACCATCCTCCCGGGTAGTGTCTTGACACATTGTATATTGCGATCTGCTAGCTCTTGCTTCAAGCCAGGCCAGCCGTACTTGAGCTAGAGCCAGACACCGCAAAAACGGCGTGACAGAGCCTACAGCCTCGCTCCGCATTCCTGAGGCCGTAAGCCAGCCTTTAAGCCATGATGGCTTTGGTTGAGTGCTGAGATAGGCAGATTTGCGGTAGATGAGAATGTAAATACTGAAAATATTTCAGTCACACTTACTCCTTGGGGTGTTTCCTGTCCGTTGGGTATAATGAATAATCTTGCTGCACAGGGTGGCGCATATTCCTGGAGGGTATTGTCACGGACTCAGGTAAGAAATGAGTGTAGATTACATACACTCGTATACCCTTAACCCGACGATATCTGACTACCTTCTTGCCCCCGTCATATTCCGCCCAAGCCACGGCTCAGGCCAGAGCCGGCCGTGAGTTATGGCTTCTGGCCTGGCTTGGAAGATGGTGAAGCCGGGCCAGCAGATCTATGATTCCTAGCACGATATAGTGTACATCCTTGAGCGTGAAACCTATTCCGATGGAGACTTGATGTTGCGTAACCTTGCTGTCGTAGATGTGACGACTTGTCCTTGCGTAGAGTTGCCTGTTCGGAGCAGACATGTGTATATAAGGAAAGGAATGAGGAGGACGCATTGGCACGAGCATCCTTCTTGTTTGCTCAGTTATCTGTCGTACTCCGGCGGGTCCATGCTGCAAATGATGAGGTCCTGTAACATTGAAAGCAGATTGTATCCTACCGAGCAAAAGATACATCAAGAATCTCCGTAGACCATCTAGACTGATTCGCTCAAAGAGTACATGTATCGAAAGGCCGGGTATACTGTTTTTGACTAGATAAAGAGTATAGCGTTCGGGTAACGCACCAATGATGCATCGGGGTTAGCGGATGATAACGGAAGACAAGATTGCGTCGGTCATCGTGTCTTTCAGCGCGTGACATGCACCAGTTTCGTGAGTTGCTCCTAGCGTAACGTGTGGTGAGTCGAGATTGTTGGGTGGAGTGGCGATGGCCCAACCCGGACTGTCATTTTGGATCGCAGCTTGAGTCGGCTCGCTTGTAACTCGACTCGAATCGATCCGCGGGAGTATTAGCAGCTGCCGCGGCCACATTGAGAAGGTGGCGTTACGTAATGCACGTGACTCTGTTTTGACATGAGCGCGTGGTTGATCTGGACCGGACCACAATAACAAACTCTTCCGCCAACGACGACTAGACCGCTAACGACGACGACGGCGAGCAGCACAAAACGCTGCCGAGGACGATGAGCAGGAGAGAATCGCGCGTATCTATGGGCGCGAGACAGACTGACGCCTTGTTTGAATTTGAAAATTGTACGTGCATCCTTGGTCGCCTATAAACAAAGCTCACTCTTGTCTGTTGACAGTCAAGAAGAAGTTTCTGCAGGCGAACAAGCAGATTACCAAGTGCGTGCCCTTTGCCTACTCGAGGCTGCACCAGCCGCTAACACCGCCGGCTAGATTGAACTCAACAATGAGCCAACGGATCGAGGAGCTCAACGCCGAGATATCTCGGCTCTACAACGAAAACTTGCGGCTCAAGGCGTCGGAAATTGCCCTCGCCGCCGAGCTGAAGCGTGAGCGGGACAAGTCGCGCAAGGTCATGGACGAAGTCGAGATGGCGGTACGTGGGTGAATTTCATAATTTTTACTCGTCGCTGACGACGGCACCTTGCAGGCGCTGGGCTTGACGAAGCACCTGGGCTTCCTCCGACAGACATTTAGCATCCGACATTCTAGCGACACACCATCCCCTACTCCTCCACGAGCCACCCAGCGTCCCACATCCACCCCGCCATCGCCTAGGCTTTCGCGCCAGCCGACAGTGCCCGGTATCAACGAAGAGGATGAACCTCCGGACAGTCCGTATCGCAGCAAGAAAGCCAAACGGCTCTCAGCGAGCCGGTTGCCGCTACCATCGCGCTGTTCTTCGCCTCCGGAACAACCGCCGCTAATTGATCTTGCACCGCCCAAGAAGAAGAAATCGTCGTCGCGCCGCCAAAGTGGGCTATTTCCTGTCAACATTCCGATGGTGGACGAGCTTGCAGTAGCAACAGCAGTTCCATTAGAAGACGACGATGAGGCAGAGGAGGTCGTTGTGTTCGACAACTTGGTGGAGGACCCTACGCCTACCGTAAAGAAGGAAAAGCGACGAAAGAAGGAGGGCACCGATTCCAAGTTTAAGGACTTGACCAATGAGCCGCGGCGCAAGAGTCCTCCAATCGGTATGTTATATATGCCTATCCGCGACCATATGCTTAATCGTCCTTATAGACGATCTACCCCCTACGCGACAATTTCTGACGCCGTCTCCTCCTCGACCAACATTACTACCAACGCCCCAGCCATCGTTGAGCCCCGAGCCTACCGATGGCGAGCGCACTAGACGGGCACGCAAAAGTGTCAACTACGCAGAGCCTAAGCTAAACACGTGCGTACATTTATTCCCTACGTTTTATTGTCTAACGTCTTGCAGCAAAATGCGCAGAGCAGACGGTGTCCCACCCTTACGAAAACAGCGCGTGTCTGCATCTGCCTTGCTAGATGACCGTAAAGTTACGTTAAAGCGGAATAAGAAGTTTGACTATCCGTCCGAAGAGGAGCCGGACGACGAAGATGGTGCTGACGCGGACGCTGATGAGGAGTACGCGACGCCGTCGTGGCGAATGGGGGACAGAAGACACAGTCTTGCTGTTTAGATGTTGATTTATTGCCTTTTATGACGCCTGGGTATATGACTTTTTCAACTATCACTATGCATTTTTTGGATGTATTGTAGCCGCTATCTGTTTGTCTATTGTGATGATGCTTTCCAAGTTGACAACGGTTTCGAGCGCCTGAGGAATGCAGGAGTAGAAATGGAGGGGGGTTTGATACTTTTCTTCTAACCTTTACTTTCTGTGTTTCTGTGATAAGTCTTGTCTGGTGCTAGCTGATGCCGTGCAAGGAAGATCCAGGCACCCTGTCGATGCCGATTCGGATGAGGTGTGCCAACTTGGCGCTTGCGCCAATGGGGATAGTGTGGCGCTCAGTTCACCGAGCAAAGCTTCTTTGCTTTTTCTCTAGCACGATGCCCTTTATCAGGACTGGCAGCTGGATTTCACTGAATACTCGTGGCGCTGAAGAAAGTGGAATTAAAGTAGCGCATGCGATAGGGAAAAGGCACTGCATCTGTGAAGTTGAGAACCAGAACCGAGAGAGTTTACTATGCCTGTGTATCTCGAATTGAGCGGAAGAGGGTCTCAAACATGTACAAAGACCATACATATCCACTGTTATACAACGAGGTTGGCAACGACACTACGCGCAAGTACAAGTCATCAACGTAGGGTCATATTGTGACTGTTTGAAGCACTCGTCTTGAGGAACCAAAAAAGGTTTTTCACTTTGAAAAATTACCCGCACTCTCTGACTGGGAGTCGAACCCAGCTTTCGCGCGAAACGGATTTATGCATTCCCTTCCCATGACAGGCGCGTGTACTAACCGATATACTATCAGAGAAGTGACCAACTCAGTTCAACTGTTTTTGTAAACGGGGGGTAGTGAATCAAACAAACTAGGGCAGTGGTAAATCTTACATTGATGGTGAAGCGGCTTGCCTTTCGTAGTAGAGTGTCATACAAGTCGTTGGAGCGGAAATAGAAGGGCTTGATATCTCGTGTCAGCAGATTTCCTCCCGACAATGACTTACGACTACTGTATCTCTTGCAGCAAGGCTGCGGACAATCTCAGATCCTAAATACTGTGTGCGCTTCCGTTAGATATCACTTCTATTGTAGATCAAGGAAGTCAAAAGAAACATATAAGCCCTCCTGCCGGCCGCCATTGAACACAGGCGAGGTGCTGGGTATCAAGCTCTTCTGCGCCTTTTGTTTTATTTTTTTTTCTCATCTTCCGAGCGCTCAACGATCGGTGTTTAGTGCTGTAAACCGTCGACGCGCGAACGCGATGGAGGCGTGTCATGCCTCTTATTTGATGGCTGTTATCGGAGGTGTATGGCTGGAGTGAAGAAGACGGCTGGGCTCCCCCGAGCACGCCTGCGGTGTCTCAGCACTTTTGTAGGAAGTATTATAGTGAGCAGAGGGAGAAGGGGAGGAAGCAGTGTTGGTTGGCTTACGCGTCCGCTTTGAAGATTGAGAATTTACTATATATCCCGGCTTACAATTGAAGTCGCTGTGTTAGCGACTGACTAAGCCACGAGACTCAACCAGGTACCACAGCAAGAAACTAAGGAGGAAAGCGTTCGCGTTCGTAAGACTAGGCTAGGCCAGGTGTATAAACGAGATCGGAACTAAAGTACAATGATACTACACTACTGCTTATATACTAGTAAGTCTGTGTTTGAGACTCCTTGTCCATACGCGTTTCCACTAGGGATGCTCCACGCCCTTGACCCAGTGTTGTATGCTACTAGTCCGTGAAACCATTAAATACGAGTGGTAACTGCATGTAAGTAATAATACTGAAACGACCATGTGTACTACGAGTGTCGGCGGTGTGTATACAATAGGGAGTCCATGAGGTATCGGCATGTATGATGTCATCCATGTGTTGGCCATGTGTCCGACATGAGTACGGCTTCGGTAATGAAAAGGGGTATGATCGGTGACGAAACAGATGATGAAGCAGTCCGTTGGTTGATAAGACAAGGCCCCCGATAAGATATGATAAGATGTGAAAGTGTGAAAATATGGTCATTCATAACATCACCCCCTCCTTAAGGCGCAAGTTCCATTCTGCGCCAGATTTGCTCCATGAGGGCCGCAGAGGGTAGCGTGACATCAATAGGTTCGGTGTCAGGCGGTGGCATGGGTCGGAATAGGTGTGATGGAAATTGCGACATGGGGACTTCGATGCGAGCAAGCGCAGGTGGCTTCCGGAAGTACTGGAGGTTTTGATGATCGGTAAACACCTCCACCGTTTCCTTTGCTCCAAGGAGATATTGTCTCCAGTCGTCAATCGAGTCCATAATAGCCATCATCTCTTTGTCGTAGATCTCATAATTGCGCTCTACTTCGTTCAGCGCGCGAGACCGAAAGGCTACTGGTCTCCATTTTCCGTCCACCAACTGGGAAAGAACCGCCCCGTTCGCATAGTTCGAGGAGTCTGCCTCAACTCGAAACTTGCCGTCGTTGCGTGGTACAATCAGAACGGGTTCTTCCGTCATCCTCCGCTTCAACTCCTCAAATGCCTCGTGCTGCTCCATGCCCCAAACCCACTCGCCCTTCCCGGTTAGCGATGTCAATGGCTTCGCTACTCCCGCAAATCCCCGGATGAAACGTCGGTAGAAGTTGCAGAAGCCCAGGAATGACTGTACTTCCTTCTTCTTCGTCGGCTCCTTCCATTCCTTTACTACGGCCACTTTTGCCGGATCCATCTTCACCTCTCCTCCTCCAACAATAACTCCTAAGTAGTCTACAGTATGTGCCTCGAAACTACATTTCTCGGGTTTTAAATACAACTTATTTACTCGTAATATTTCTAATACTCGTCGTATGATATGCCTATGTTCTTCCAACGTGTTCGTAAAGATAAGTATGTCATCCAAGTAAACTATAACATGTCCTTCATCAATCAGCTCCTTCAGAATGTGATTCATGAACGATTGGAATGTCGCCGGCGAGTTTGTAAGTCCGAAGAACATGACTGAGGGCTCGAACAGGCCTCGGTTTGTTCTAAACGCCGCTTTCCACTCATCACCTTCTTTGATCCGGATGTTATTGTAACCCCATCGGACATCCATCTTTGTGAAAACCTTTGCTCCCTTCAACTTGTCGATAAGCTCCTGGATCAACGGCAAGGGGTATCGGTTCTTGATTGTCATGTCGTTCAACTTCCGATAATCTTGTACTGGCCGAAGGCTTCCATCCTTCTTTTTGACAAAGAAGAAGGGTGATGCCATAGGTGAAATTGATGGCCGTATACGTCCCGTCCGTATGTTTTCTTCCAGGAACTCATCTAACGCCTTCTGCTCGGATGGACTGAGGGGATAAACCTTGCAGTCAACCGGTTTGGAACCAGGCGTAAGTTCTATCGCGTGATCCCAGGGTCTTCGCTCCGGTAACTTGTCAAAGTCCGCCTTGCTGAATACATCGGAAAATTCCTCGATGTAAGGTGCAGCAGCGGATGAAGGCTGTTGGATCTCAGCTTTTCTCCGCTTTTGCGATAGTTGTCCCAGTCCATCCAGAACAAACGCTCTCCCTCTTCCAACTTCTCTTCTACGTCTTCTCCTTCATCTTCCGGTGAGTTGTACTCGGGTAGATAGCCGCAGCGGTCTGGGCATCGATCAAAGGTCAATGTGGATTCCGTCCAGTTGATCGTGGGGTTGTGATATCGTAGCCAATCTAGCCCCAAAAAGATACTTGTTTTGCCGAGATTGGTGACGGCCAACTCAATCTTTTCGGCGTGATCTCCGATCTTCATCCGGACCTCCACAAAACCTTTGATTGCTCCTCCCTCGTTTAGGGTTCCATCCGCATTGTAAACAGGGAGCTTGACCGGTAACTCCTTGATCGGAAGTCCGTTCTTCTCGACGAATTCTTTATTGACACAAGAACCCGTTGCTCCACTGTCAAGAAGGGCACTCGTTTCCCATTCAGAGCCTGTGTGTACGCTCTCTATGGTTACTCGGAGTTTCATGTCCTGCCCCTTTGTTCCCCGGATGTACTTCCTCGACTTTTTCAACTCTGTCACAACTTCCACCGCAGCTTCCTTTGTCAACGCTCTGATCGCCATCACCTTCTCCTCCGTCGCTTCTCTCTCTCTCCGCTCCGGCATCCATGCTCTCAAAATTCCCACTGCTCTCGACACGTCATCCTCTCTTAGCCGTTGTGCGATCCACTCGGGCGTATTTGGCTCAAATCTTTCTTTCGCAGGTTTTGGTGGTAAAGTCGTCGATGATATTTTAGGTGTTTCCGTACCCGTACTGTAAATAGATTCTGCATCTGACGACCCTTTCCTTGATGACTGCTCCGGCAGGACTGCGTCTACTGCGGGAGCTTCGCAAAACCCAACTCTTCGGCCAGCTTCTTCTTCTCCTTGTCATTCATCTCGGTCCATAAACCCCGAATCGTCTGGGGTCGACCCTTCTTCGGACAGAACCTGCTGACGTGGCCGTGTTCGCCACAGCTGAAGCAAAGTCCTCTTCGATGTGCGTTGTCTATGTCCATCGGCCTGCTGGCTCCTCCATAGGTAACGCCGGTGGCATCTCGTCGTGTGGTCGGCATCGGGGGTGGGTTCGTAGGATTGGCTCTCGATGTAGCCGCCTGCGGAGCTAGGGGCCGGGCCTGCATGCCAGACCTCTTGCTCACCGCCCGCCTTCTCCATAGCTGATCGATCTGAATGATCTGTGCCTTCCAATCCTTGTACTTCTTTGGCAACCCATCTCGGCTGCCATATATCTGGTCGATGATCTTCTCGTTGACATTGGTCTCGAGAAGTCGCACGACAAATGCGTCATCCTTCGAGTATTCCGCCTGAGTAAGCAGGACCTCGAACTTCTGAAAGAAATCTTGCGCGGTGTCTTGCCCCTGGCGCAACCGTTCAATCTGATCTTGCGCGTCTCGCGCGAGGTTGGAGTCCACAAATCACTCCTTCAAGTCTTCCTTGAACTCCGTCCAAGAGACTGTCCATTCCTCTTCTTCCTTGTCAAAGTTCTGGTCCGAGTAGTTCTGGACCCATGCATCTACATGATCTCCTCAGATATAGGAAAGAACAACATCAATCCTTTTGGAGTCAGATGTGAGGTTGTTCTTCTTGTCACGGATATATGTGAACATTGATTGCCACCAGCTCTTGTACTTGGACTTGTCCCCATCATAGTCATAAGGCTTGTTGACAAGAGATCAACCTTTGGGTTGGACATCAGCGTGATGAGCGGGATGAGCGGTTTCGGGTGCTTCGTTGGACATGATGAATCGGGGTGATAGGATCAGAGAGTGAAAGGGTGAAAGTGGGGATATGGGTGATGCGGATTTTGATGAAACGGGTGAGGGAATAGAGGTTTGGATGAATAGGGAGGGATCGCCTAGATCTGAAATAGAATCCAGGACTTGGTAGGGTGGGGAATGATAATGTGTATCGTAAGGTAAGTAAAGTAGGTAGGTATCGTAACTGTCTACGCTATTTTACCGACTACTGACTACGTATCTACGGAGCCCAAGAGCTCGTCACAAGTTCGCAATTGCCCAGCCGACGTCCCTCTGGTGTGAGGTAAGCCGAAGTTTTCCTGGGAACGGGGGTTGACCCGTAAACAGCGCCCACTGAAGTGCAACTGCCAAAAGTTCGTTCTCGTGAGAGCGGCTACTTCCAGCACCCAAGGCAGTTATCTCTAACTGTTAGCCGGCGCTACTGGGACCAATACACACGTATGCGGACGTGCGCTGGAATTAGGAATCCGTCGATCTGTAAACAGGAAAGGGAATAGGGGAATGTGCGATGATCAAACAGCGAAGTGCTGATCGACGATCAGGGATGTGTGGTAGGTGGTAAAAGGGAGTTCC